AAAAAAAAAGTGTGCCCCCTTCCCCACAACTTCTGATTGGTATGCTGGTGTTATTCCCAGGGGGCTGTTTGAGGGTACTCTGGTACCGTGGTGGCAATCTTGGCACCCAGGGCTGGTACCCAAACTTTTCTTGGCCATTGGCTGCCCAGCTCCAGGAGACTGGCTGTCAGAGGGCTAGTCTGGGAGGGCGAGAAGCAAGAGACCCTGGGTGTCAGTGGACAAGGCTAACTTCACTGCTCACCTCGGAGTCTGAAGGTGTTGTGGAGGGGACAGAGGACCTTACAATTCCTGTAAATCATGTTTACGTGTGCAAAACTTAGAAAGAAATGTGAGAAACTTTCAGGCATTTGCAGAAAAGCCCACTTTATCTAGTACAGTATCTGCGGGATTAGCTGTCCATTATTGGAATCGCTGGTTGGTCAGCAGTCAGGACCCCTGGTTGGCCAGCACTCCCACCAATCAGAACTCCGGGTTTGCCATGATTCCACCAATCAGAATCCCGGATTAGTCAACATTCCACCAATCAGAAACCCTGGTTAGTCCACGTTCTATTAAAGAAACTGTCAGCTGGTACTTCTGGGGCTATTTAGGTGAGTTACCCGGGAGGGTCTTGGTGGCAACCCAAGTCCTCACAAAAAACTGCAGCTTTGGGGTGAAATCTGTTTTCTGGGACTTAAGGGTGCGCTAGGTTAGCCAGCAGCTGGTTCCTGAACCAGGAAGCTGGGCTGATGGACTGGGCAAAAGGGAAAGAATGGATAGAACGTTGGGAAGAACCAGGATGAACAAGCCTCTGCTCCCTGCCTGGGTCCTTCATTCTCCTTTGGTCTTCCCGGCTCCTGGGCATCCTGGGGAGAAGGAAGGAGCTGAGGGTCTGCTCCCCAGGGCAGAGGTTTTCGTGGGCAGATGAGCTGGCTGGTTGGGGAAGGTGGGGCTGAACTCTCGTTTCTGGGGGGATTGGGAGGGCAGTTGATGGGACCTGGCTGGGAGGCAGTGGGGGCTGGAAAGTGCAGCTGCACCCTGCTCTGCCTGATCTTTCATGGGCAGGTCATTTCTGTGCCTGTCCCACTGTTTGTCAGGAGGGTCAGGGGCACACTATCTGCTGAGGCCATACACAGGGCTCTGGTAAGCAGTGGGGCCATTTGTGAGCCATCAGTAGTAGAGGGTGCCATCAGCAGGTGAGGGGAGCCGAGCTTTGGCTTGGCATCCGCAGGTGCCTGTTAAGCCCTGGTCTGGCTGTCTGACCTTGGGCTCTTCCCTTCCTCAGACCTTGGATTCCTCATTGCAACACAGTTACCCAGCTGGGTGTCCATGGGAGTCAGATGGGAATAATGTAAATGTTCTGCATGATGGTTGTGCATACCCCATGCTTTGTCCTTTCTACAGGGTCAACTGTCATCTGTCTGTCTGGGTGTCTGGCTTTGTGGGACGGTGCAGAGCCTACTCTGTCCTGTGGGTAAGAGCAGGGCTCTGGGATCAGGGTTCAAGTCCCAGCCCCACCACTTGCTGGAACTGTTCCCTTCCCAAGTCTATGTCCTCAACCCAAACAGGAATCATAAGGCCACTGGACTCAGGAAGATTGTGACAACTCAATGAGAAAATTCCAGCAAATTGAGTCAGCATAGAACTCAAGACTTTTTTTTTTTTTTTTTTAAAGTAAGCTGTATGTCTAACATGGGGCTCAAACTCACAACCCCAAGAGTCACATGTTCTGAGCCAGCCAGGCTCCCCATTCCACCTCTGTAATCCACCCACTACAGAGGGTCTCGAGGGCACTTCCAGACCAGGGGAGCCTGGACTAGGTTCTGACGCCCCCAAGGGACAGGCAAGCCACTGCATATCAGGTCTCTGACCTGTATCCTCTCCATTGCTGTCTCCAGCCACCCCGTCCACCTGTCCACTTCCACTGTAGGGGCAGGGAAACTGGGAGAAGTGAGGTGCCCCTGGCCCAGAAGTCGGGACCCAGATGACTGGCAGTCTTACTCTAAAACTCTGTCGCATCTCACTCTGCGTCCTAAGTCTCATCTGTAAAGAAAGGGTTGTGGACCCCTTTCCCAGCATCAATATTCCATAGGCCCTGTGAGGAAGCTGCACCCTGAAGGAGGGGGCCCAGGGAGGCCTTGAGGGTGCTGGTGGAGGAGAGGGCTTGTCTGTGGGCCCCCAGCTGCAACTGATGTGGAGCCTGCTCTTAGCCCACCCTCCATGGACTACCCTCTCTGTCAGGAGAGGAGGCCAAGGCCCAGGATGGGGCAAAGACAAGTCCAGGGTCCTGCAGGCCTGCAGTGGGACAGCTGAGGTGGGCCAGGGGCGGGCAGGAAAAGCCTTGCCTCCCTCCAGCTGTTGCAGACTCGTTCTCCTGGCTTTCTGAGTAAATTTCTTTCTGTCTGGGAGTGGGCATGGGGGCTTGGGCACCTCTTGGAGCTCAGGGTTCCCATCAATGGAACAAGGCTGCCTGCGGTTCTTTCCCCATTCCTCCAGAACCAGGGGGGTGAGCTCTCTTGGCCCAGGCCTGGACCAGGTCACCCCAGGAGGGCCCCTCAGGAAGAAGCCAGGGCTGTGGCTTTGGGTGGGGCCGGTGGCCTCTTCTGGGAGCCCAGCATCTGGAAGCCATCAGGCCAGGGGCGGGGGGAGTTTCAGAAGAGGGCCGGGAAAGGGGGGAATGCCTCCTCCAGGCCACACACAGGCCCACCCCTCGGGAGCAGTGGCGTTGGGCCCACAGGCCCCGCTGCCGTCTTTGCCTCCTGCCAATGCCTCTGGGCCCATAGCCTCTCCCCCTTCCGCTGGCTGCCTTCTCTCTCACCCCACTGGCTGCTGCTCCTGTAAGATGCAATCACATAATATGCAGTAACATTGCCCACTGCGTGCTGGGAGCCTTGCTCCTCTGGCACAGGGCCTGCCTCTTGGGGTGGGTGGGTTTGGGGGAGAAGTGTCTCCAGGGGTGGTGGGCCTGGCGTCCCCTTCTTGGAGTGAGTGGTTCCTGTCTCAGTTTTGAAGTCTTAGCGTGGGGTGTTTGGGGCCGGGCTGGGGACTGGCAGATGAGTGTGTGGCTGGAAATATGACTGTGGGGATGGGGAACCATCTTCCTCAGTCCTCAAGCCTGCAGTGCTGAAGGAGGGGGTCCAGGTGCACAGTAAGACACTCAGAGGTGTCCCAGGGACAGGTGTCTCCAACTGCTCTTGGGACCACCTGCATCAGAATCACAGAGATTCTTGTTAACCATTCAGGCTTCCGGGCCGCACCCACAGCTGCCACACACGGGGCTGGGACCTGGGGCTGAGTGCGTCCCAGGGCATACAACTCCATCACCCTCCTGATCTGCTGGGGGCATAGGCATCTGACAGATCTGGCATCTTCTGCAGTGGAGGGATGAAAGTTACACTGGAGTTACACTGGGCCCTCTGGAGATGAATTGTGAAGACAGGGTCCCATGGGGGCAGGGCACGGAGGGCACCCGGCCCGAGCATGTCTGTGTCCTTCCCTGCAGCCTTGCCAACATTCCACTGACCCCTGAGACGCAGCGGGACCAGGAGCGGCGGATTCGGCGGGAGATCGCCAACAGCAACGAGCGGAGGCGCATGCAGAGCATCAACGCGGGCTTCCAGTCCCTCAAGACCCTCATCCCCCACACAGATGGAGAGAAGCTCAGCAAGGTGGGCTGGGGCCTGGAAGGCTTCCTGGAGGAAGTGGTTGGCTCAAGCGGGGAGAAGAAAGCGAGCTCTGGCAGACGTTGCCTGCCGGGGTCCCTGACTTGTCCCTCCCACCCTCAGGCAGCCATTCTCCAGCAGACGGCGGAGTACATCTTCTCCCTGGAGCAGGAGAAGACCAGGCTCCTGCAGCAGAACACACAGCTCAAGCGCTTTATCCAGGTAGCGCCCCGCGGAGGCCGCCTGCTACCTCAGTGCCCTGCCCCCCTCCTGACTCTGTTTCCCTGGTGTGGGCGTGTCCCGGCTCAGCGGTGGCTTGGGACTCCCATTGGTTGCGGGTCGAGTCTTCCCCACCGACCTGCCTACTTGAGGCATTTGCCTTCCTGCCTGGGCCTCAGTTTACCCATCGGTCAAGTGCAGTGGGCTGGGCTCTGGAAGGAACCAGGTGATTTCTGGAATCACCTTTCTGGCCTTTGTTGGATTTGCAGAATGGGGTTCCCTGGGGCCGGCGCAAGTGCCCCTGGGCTTGACAGCCTTGGGGGGCTGTGAAGGAGCCCCCTGACTCCCCTGTTGGTGGTGGTGGTGTCAGTAGTATGTGGGTGTCACGGCGCACTCACTGGCCCCTTGGGGTCTCCAGGAGCTGAGCGGCTCATCCCCCAAGCGGCGGCGGGCAGAGGACAAGGATGAGGGCATTGGCTCGCCGGACATCTGGGAAGACGAGAAGGCAGAGGATCTGCGTCGGGAGATGATCGAGCTCCGGCAGCAGCTGGACAAGGAGCGCTCGGTGCGCATGATGCTGGAGGAGCAGGTGAGGCTCTTGGGTGGACCCGGCTTCTCATGGGGGGGCTCAGTGACCTGCCCTCGGGGGCTCACTGTCTGCATGGGGTTGAGGGACATGCGTCAGAGGCTCTCACGGGACTGGAATAAAACACGGCTGCAGTAAAGGCCGCGTGCCAACGGTGGGCACCAGGGAGGGGGATTGGGCCGGTTCCAGAGAGGCTGCTTCACGGCTTCTCCGTGCAAGTGACTGGAGCCAAGGTGGGGAGGTCAAGTCTCACAGTTAACCACGCAGAGAGAGGAGAAGGGTGCACCACGCAGCACAGCGGGGGCCGGAGCCTCGAGATGGGAGGGATCAGGGCATGAGGGAGGCCATGGCTGGAGAGGAGATGAGTCACGGCGGGTCTGGCAGGCTGTGCTAAGGACTTTGGTCTCTACCCTGAGGGTGGACCAGCTCCATGTGAAGGTTTGCAGCGGGAGCGAACGGCCTCTTGGCGAAGGGCAGAGCTTGGGGAGGCTGACCGCAGCAGTCCCGCGGGCCCTGCACAGAGGCTGGGGGGCGCTGGGAGTGTGGTCTGGGGCCCGTCCCCCCAGCCTGTTGCTCTGCCCCCAGGTGCGCTCGCTGGAGGCCCACATGTACCCAGAAAAGCTCAAGGTGATTGCACAGCAGGTGCAGCTGCAGCAGCAGCAGGAGCAGGTGCGGCTGCTGCACCAGGAGAAACTGGAGCGGGAACAGCAGCACCTGCGGACCCAGGTGAGCAGGCGGCATCTGCGAGGGGCTCTGCGCCGCGAGCGACATCAGTGCCTCTGGGGCCCCGCGTCCCTGGGTGCCCAGTGTCCTGCACACGTTATTGCATTGAGTCCTCCTAGCAGCCCTTCGAGGCCTGAGCTTTTATTCTCCCCGCTTTACTGATGGCAAAACTGAGGCACAGAAAGGTTAAATTCCATGCCCACTCACGACCCTCAACGACGTGGCTCTCTGAACGCAGAGTCCACGCTCCTGCCCACCACTGTCCTTGTTAGATGTTAACGTGCTTGCATGGTGCTGGAGAGGGAAGGGGCCACAGGATCTCAGATGACTGGAAGCCCCTCTCTGCACTGCCTTTTCCTCATTTCTTAAAATAAGAGGGGTGGGCCACACACCGGCTGGCCCCTTGGGAGTGAAGGAGTTCAGAGGTGGTGGCGGTTGGCAGAGGCTGTGTCTAGGCAGCGGGCAGAGTGTTTGGGGGCCTTCCCGTGCTCTCCGTGAGGGTCCTCAGGGAAAGGGCAGTTCCTGGAACCTTTGGAAAAAGACTGAGGGCCTCTGTCTTGCAGCTGCTGCCCCCCCCGGCCCCTACCCACCACCCTACAGTGATCGTGCCGGCGCCACCCCCTCCCTCCCACCACATCAACGTCGTCACCATGGGCCCCTCCTCGGTCATCAACTCTGTTTCCACGTCCCGGCAAAATCTGGACACCATCGTGCAGGTACCTGGGCTTAAGGAGGAGGCAACATGTCGGGGGAGCGGGGGTGGGGGCGCGAGATGTGTGAGAGCCACAGGCTGTAGGGGATCGAGACGGGGCTTGAATACAGCAGGAAGAAGGGCTGGCAGCTGAATGTCTCCATTCCCTAGTTTCCCTTTCTGTGTCTGCCGTGGGAGGTGGCTCTGGAGAAGGTTTGGGGCAGAGAGGGGGACAGCATGGCCGGGAAGACCCTGTCTCTTCCTCCTTGGGGTTTGCTGAAAGGGTTCTTTGCTCCCGAGCCCCCTAGCGTCAAGTTCCTGCATCTAGGTCTTGGTTGGCTCCAGAGTCTCCTCTCAGCTCCATCTGCCAGGACCTGGGATAGGATGCAGGTGGCAGTGGCTGGGTGGGGGACACTTAAGCCTCCTGCACAGATGATTGGCACTGTGGGTCAGGCCTGAAGTCTCTGCTGTGCCCCACTCAGGGTGGCATCCCTTGGGAGAACCCAACAGCATCCCAAAGAAAGAAAAACAATGAAACAAACAAACAAAAAAGCCCAAATGAAAAAAAAGCCCATCAACCCCTGCAACTTTACTTGCACATAAATGCAGCAAATTGAAGAATAAAGTTAATAACAGAGACCTCCCATAAGTGAACAGGCAGACTTTGAAATGTATAAATGAGAGATGCATGTGACTTCCAGGCGGCCCTGAACTGTGATCTCCAAGGCGTTTTGCAGCTCAGCAGAGGAGTTCCAAATGTTTGTGTCCCCCGTATTCTGGCAGGCCGGCCACTGTCTTGCCAGGCTTATTTCTGGATATTTCTGTGTGTGTGTGTATGTATGTGTGTGTGTGTGTGTGGGGGAGGGGGGCATAGTGGCTGTCCCAGTGTCCCCAGCCACCCTCATCGCAGCCTGCCACCTCCCCCCGCCCACCAGGCGATCCAGCACATCGAGGGCACCCAGGAAAGGCAGGAGCAGGAGGAGGAACAACGACGAGCCGTCATCGTGAAGCCAGGCCGCAGCTGCCCGGAGGCCCACGCCTCCGACACTGCCTCCGATTCGGAGGCCTCGGACAGCGACGCCATGGACCAGAGCCGGGAGGAGCCAGCAGGGAATGGGGGGCTTCCCTGACCACCCCCCAGCCCTCCTCTCCCCTCTTGGAGCTGGAGGGGGCCGGGGGGCAGCTACAGGGAGCAAACGCAGGCGAACGAGTGAGGAATTTTTACAAAATTACAACGTCATTTGGGTCTCTTTTATGACCTCTTTTTCAATACTGTAAATCGACCTTTGAGTGAAGCCACCCGACCTGAGGTCCCCGGGGGCTGGGGTGGCAGGGGCATGTTGAGCACCGGGACACCTGGGGCTGGGCCTCGCCCCGGAGGCTGGGGGAAGCTGACACAGGTGCCTGGCCTCTCTCCGCCAAAAAGCATTTTTTCATTTAAACATGTTTTTAAGAACAGGGAAAAATCAAACAAAACCCCAAGGTATGCTGCCCTCCCCAGAGCCAGCCCTAGACCGGCAGTTTCTGACTCCTTCCCTCCTCTTTTTGTTTTTTTCCTTTCTCCTTTAAGCACTTACATGGGTTGGGGGTCTGGCTGGGTCGGAGCTCTCTGGGGACCCCGGGGGTCTACGTTGCTTCTCGGTTGGGGTTTGCTGCT